CTCTCTGTCTGTCTGGCAAGTGCACGTGCCCTATAGCAAAAACCTCTAAAAAAAAAAAAAAAGAATTTCATGCCCAATCCTCTACCCGCACGATCGATTGCTAATTGTACTAGGCCACTTTGTCATCAGCACAGCCCGAGCACACGTCGGGAAGGCACGCAGAGGTGGAAGTAGCGTATAACACACACGCACAGCCCTGTCTTACCAAGGACGTCCCGGTGGTGACATCTGGTCTCTCTTTAGTCCCTGTAAGAAAATAAAGATGTCCATAATGTAGGCAGCAGAAACAGAACGGATGCAGCAGGTGAAAGAGTAAAGGCATGGCCAGAAGGGGCATAGGGGTAAAAGTGCTGGACTCCCAGATGACTGACTGCGGTTCGAGTCCTGGAGCTGGTGGCTTGAAACTCATGATGTGTGTGTGGGTGCGTGCTTGCGTACACGCTTGTCCAAATTCCCAAGTGCACTTTTCTTTTTAAAAAAGTTTTTTAGAGAGAGATTTTTGCTATAGGGTGTATGCACTTACCAGAGAGACAGAGAGACAGAAAGTGAGAAATCACCCCCCAGGGGGGATGGCCACGTTGCAATCCCTTCTCCTCCATTCTCCTCTCGGGATCTTGGGCACGCACGCACACGCGCCTGGCGTGAGTTTAAGCCATGAGTCTGGGACTCAAACCAAGAGACAGAGAGAGAGAGAGAGAGAGAGAGAGAGACAGAGAGAGAGCACTCCCCTAAGAATTGTGGTCACGTGTCAATCCCTTCTCCTCTAACTGTCCACGCCATCAGAACTTTGGGCACACATGCACGCTCATCTGCCATGGTTTTCAAGCCATCAGGGCCAACACTCAAACCACAGTTGGCCTCATGGGATCCAGCGCCCTTAACCCCTAGGCTATGGGGGTGGCCTATTTTTAAATTGTGCATGGCGGTGTTTCCAAGCTAGGGCGGACAGGCTAAGCAAGCTTAGACCAGGCTCTGGAAATCACCAACCACCCACCTCTCAGTGGTCTTGGATCTCCTTTATCTCCCCAACGCGCAAATAAGACCTTGGCTTAGATATCCCATTATCGGCCTATCGACTGGACCCACCAAAGGAGACCATCATTAGCTTGGGTCTTCTTCCTGAAGTTCCATGAGCGAAGCCCACACCGCCGGGAAGAAGAGTGAGCTATGTCAACACCCCTGGATGGGGCTTGTCCCAAACCATTGTTCAGCTCTCTTGGCCACTCGGCGGAGAGGAGGAGAAGGATGTATTCTGCGTCATGAGCGTGTTGAAGACCTTCTTCCCCTCCCCGCAGCCTGTTCATGACTCCCGCCTTCTAAAATCTCCCGCACGGAATTCATGAACCAAACCTGCTTCTGTTATCAGCTGGGTTTATTGACGCCCAGTCCCATCCGTTAGAAAGTCCTGCTCATTGGCACATCATGGTAGATCCTGAGCCAGCCAACGCGTTGTCAGATGTTCACGCTCAACCATTCGGTCACTACGTCTATGAGAAGTGTAATTGTACGCAGTTCTTTGGCATTCTTACAATCTGTAGGTTCTTCTCCATCATCTGGTGCCTGTGATCCTCTGTGGGCTGTCTTGGTAACATTGGCACTGATGCAGGGTTTAGACGGAAACGTGTGATGAAGGCATATTACAGACACGGGTCGTCGGAAAGGCTGCGACTTGTATTTCTATGCAAAAGGGTGCCATGACTTTTTCGGCCACCTGACGGCATGGGCTGGGGAGGTGAGGTCGCATTTCTGATGTCACCTTTGTTGTAAAACTGGGCAAATGGGCTTTTGTGTATTCTAGTGACCTTATCTACGAAGTCAGATGACTGCCCTGGAGATAACTTGCAAGTCCTTTGACCTGAACTATTCATTCCTAAAATAAAGCTTTCTAATTCCTGCTGGGTACATGTTTAAGAATGATAGGGACCAGTAGTTAACGGGACCAGCAGTTGGCGTAATGGCTATGTCACTGGACTCCCATGTAGTTGACTGCAGTTCAAGTCCCGGACCCGGTGGCTTAAAACTCACGCTGGGTGTGTGTGCATGTGTGCCCAAGATCCCGAGAGGAGAATAGAGGAGAAGGGATTGCGGCATGACCATCCCCCCTGGGGGGTGATTTCTCACTTTCTGTCTGTCTCTCTCTGTCTGTCTGGTGAGCACATGCACCCTATACCAAAACCCTTTCCAAAAGAAAAGAAAAAAGAAATGATCTATTTGGGCTTACTTATAATCATTTATTTGATTCTTTTCTTGTTTTTTTTTTTTGAGATTTTGCTATAGGGAGCATGCACTCACAAGAGAGACAGAGACAGAGAGAAAGAGATAGAAAGGGAGAAATCACCCCCCTGCCCCGGGGGTGGGGGATGGCCATGTCACAGTCCCTTCTCCTCCATCCTCCTCTTGGGATCTCGGGCACGCACATACATGTGTAGGGCATGAGTTTAAGCCACCGGCAGACTACGTGGGAGTCCAGCGATGTAACCATTATGCCCTCTGCTGGCCACTGGATTTCAGTCTTTTACAATTAAGCACTGCTACCGTCCGTGACCTGTGGCTTTGTTAAGTCCAAGCTTCTTACGTGGTTAAGACAGTAAAGATGAGTACAGCCATGAGGGCACTAGTTGTTGGCAAAGGTGCTATTTCTCTCCCGGGAAGACACAGGTGTACCGAAAACGATCCTTCCTATTTCCGCGGCATCTCTGTTTGGTGTTTAAACGTGTTTGATGAACACCTTGCTATGTGTCTTTGACTTTATGGCAACTACATGGGAGGCCAGCAACTAACCACTATGCCATCTGCTGGTCCCAGCACTTAGCCACTCTTTACCCGTGTTTAAGGGTGGCTTTGTAGACTACGGATTGCAGATCGTATTCTATAGAGCCTGGGATCCCTTCATCATTTGACAAGCAGCCTGGTCTTACCATGATGGAGCAGAGATGGTCTCAGCAGCTGGGTATGAAGATGAGAAAACCATGTCACTTCTCTGACAGTGACTTAGAACCTCAGGACACTGGCTACCTGATTTTTCTTCTATCTCTGTTTTTCTTAAAAGAATTTTTATTTTTGGAGAAGTTTTTACTATAGGGCACGTGCGCTTGCCAGAAAGACAGAGAGACAGAAAGTGAGAAATCACCCCCCAGGGGGGATGGCCATGCCACAATCTCTTCTCCTCCATTCTGCTCTCGGGATCTTGGGCACGCACGCACACGTGCCCGGCGTGAGTTTAAGCCGCCGGATCCAGGACTCAAACCACGGTTGACTACATGGGAGTCCAGTGACATAGCCATTACACTAACTACTGGTCCCACTTTTTTTCTAAAAAAAATAATTATTTAATTTAATTTTATTTATGTATTCATTTATTTAAATTTGACCAGAGAGAGACACATAGAGAAAGAGGGAGAGGGAATGTGAGAAAGCTAGCCTCCAGGTCCAGGACTTGAACTGTGGTCAGCCATGTGAGAATCCAGTGCCTTAATCACCATACCACCAGCTGGTCCCCCGCCCCTTTTTTTTTTAAGGAATTTCACCATAGGGCATGTGTATTCTCCAGAGAGAGTTTACAAAGAGACAGAGAGAAGGAAAGTGAGAAGTCACGCCCTGGGGCCATGGTCACGGTGCAATCCATTTTCCTCCATTCTCTTCTTGGGATTTTGGGCATGCACACACACCTGGTGTGAGTTTCAAGCCACCAGGTCCAAGACTGTGCCTTGTGGGAGTGAGCGCCCCAACCCTATGCCCCTTACCCGACCTGTTTAACAGGTTGAAGGTCTAGATGACTGACCTGTCTCAAAGCCACTTCAAGGAGGGCGGCCAGAAAGCCCTGGCCTTAGCTCCCCCAGGAACTAAGGCTGTAAGTCTCCTATCCTCCCGCCACAGGGAGCTTGTGTAAGCATTTTCATTTATATGTGAGAGGGTCTTACAGACCCCATACCACTGTGGGAAGTGGTCTTCAATGGTGTTAAATTCACTAGCATGACAATGAAATTCTAAAAAGTTGCACAAAGACTTTAGTAACCTGTTGGCTAAATTACTTAATATAGAATGGACATCTTCCTTTATTAAATGTGGCTGTGCATTATTTTGAATGGCTTCATAGCATCTGTTTAGGCAGATAAGATGTAAGTTACTTAAGAAAGAAAAAAACTATGCAAGAATTTTAAAAGGTTTCGCACCTAAATCAACACATACGTTTTAAATTTTTAAAATTGTTATTATTTTTTAATTGGTTATAGGGTACATGCCCTTGAAAGAGAGAGGGAAAGTGAAAAATCACCTCCCAGAGGGGTTGGCTAGGCCACAAACCCTCCTCCTCCATTCTCTTCCTGGGATTTTGGACAGGGATGCACACATGGCTGGCGGGGTTTGCAAGCTGCTGTGTTCTGGAGTTGAACTACCCTGTGAGCCGCGTAGAATCCAGCTGCCTTAACCACCATGCCACAAGCTGGCCCAGTAAAGTCAAGCTCACAAATCCTTTAAAGCCCTTTTTGTATAGATAAACATTCATGAATTATATAGAATGATATACATGCATAATATAAAATAAATAGGAATTAACCCTCATGAAAATAAGTATGTGTGTGTGTGTGTATACATGTTGTATACATGTTTATATATATATGCATATGCACACATATATATAGTTGTAGTCAAAGTCATAATGCATTTTTACATAGAAAAACAGAACATGTAGTGTGGTAGTTAAGACCCTGGACTTCCCCAAGACAGACTGCAGTTCGAATCTCGGACCTAGCAGCTTGCTTTCTCACTTTCCCTCTCTCTCTCTGTCTCTCTGGTCAAATAAAAATAAATAATAACACATAAAAATTAAGTACATAAATAACTCTTTAAAAAAATAGGGAAAAAAAAGGGACCAGTAGTTAGCGTAATGGCTATGTCACTGGACTCCCACGTAGTCAACCGTGGTTCTCGTCCCAGACCCGGTGACTTAAATTCACGTTGGGCACGTGTGCGTGCGTGCCCAAGATCCCAAGAGGAGAACGGAGGAGAAGGGATTGCGGCATGGCCATGCCCCCTGGGGGGTGATTTCTCGCTTTCTGTCTCTCTGTCTCTATCTGTCTTCTGTCTGCCTGGCGAGGGCACGCCCCCTGTAGAAAAAACGTCTCAAAAAAAAAAAAAAAAGTAGAAAAAAAAAACCATGTCATGACATTTTGACAGTCCAGTTTATATAATTTTTTTTCCCTGCCCAAACTTATTATGGGTTTCTGAGATTTGGGGAAATGAAACCGGCTTTGCTACAGTGGGCAGGCTGGAGGAGGGGGCTTCCAGAACTAGGTAGAGAAATGGAATGAAAGCTGAGTTTACTTGGCTATGCACTGTCTGAAATGCACCTCTTGTCTCTGAATCTATGTGCAGCCCTCTGGACCGCGCGGAGAGTCAGAGGGGAGGTTTATGTGGGCTCTGCAGCCCCTCCTTCACGGACGCACCCTGCTCGGCCACACAAAAGGCTGCTTCCATTCCAAAGAATCCAGCCTTTGAAGCCCTAGAACGCTGCCTGCCTCCGTGAGATTAGCAGGTCCTGGCTGCAGATAAGACGCGCCCAGACCAGGACCCACAGCCACAGGAAAGAGTCTGGGCGTCTGACCCGGAACCCACCCCGTGTTCCCTTTCCAGCAAGAGGAACTGCAGCTCCTTCTCCCTCCCGGCGTCTCCCCCAAAACCCAGCTCAGGTTTGCACCTCCAGGAGCCCTCACCGTCCAGGTCACGTGTGCAGCTCCCAGCTCTCTAAGAATGCACCCTGCTGGAGGCACCCTGCTGGAGGCCCCTCTCCTCCTCCTGGTTCCTTTTTCTTGTGCATTGATTGCATTTACAAATCTCCACCTACAACCGCTGGATGCTATTTTCAGTTAGTATGATTTTCCAATTTCGTTTCTTTTTCTTTTCCTCCATGCAATTACTGTCTATCTTAGCGACATTGAAAAGAAAACATCCCAGCTTGCGACCCCCTTCAAAGAAATCAGCATACACATTACTTTTTACATTTTTTTTTTTTAAAGGAGATTGCTTCTAAAACCTGGCCCTGCAAGAGCGAGCGTCCAGAAAGGCTGAGGGGAGTGTGGAGACGCGCATGCATGCATACCTGAGCTGGAGCGCTGCCAGGAAGTTCAGATGGAGCCTTGCGGTGTCATTACCCCCGCAGGGGACGCCTTGTCCTTGCTGAAACAGAGAGGGTCAGCCGGGGCGTCGGTCGGAGTGGTCTCCTCAGCCACGCATGTGCACAGCTGACCTCTTCTTACAAGCGACCACAGGTACTCCACAGGCAGCAGGGGAGGCCGCCCCAGACCGGATCAGAGAAGGCTCCGGGTGTCCACCGTCTGCTCTGCTCTGCCCTGCTCAGGGTCTCTCAGAACTCTGCGCTATTTGCACAGCCAACACTGGCAGGAAGAGCCCAGGCGCTGGCTGAGAACAGGGACTCTTTCATCGGCAAAGACGGGAAACGCTCTGGGTCTCTGATCTAGCCCACAGGCGAGCCTTGGCTGGCTTTCCCTCTCCAAAAAAGGAAAGCTGTTGTTTGGAAAAGTGCTTGAACTGTGTGTTACTGCAAATTTCTTTCTTTCTTTTCTTTAAACGGCTTTGCCATTAGGTAGGTGCGCTCACTGGAGAGAGACAGAGACAAGCCGAGAGATGGAAAGTGAGAAATCACTCCTAAAAGCCATGTTACAATACTTTCTCCTCCATTCTCCTCCTGGGATTTTGGACACACACACACACACACACACACACACACACATATGGCTGGCATGTCTTTTTTTCTTTTCTTCTTTTTCTCTTCTTTCTTTTCTTTTCTTCTTTTCTCTTCTCTTCTTTCTCTTCTCTTCTCTTTTCTTTTCTTTTAGAGAGATTTTTGCTATAGGGCGTGTGTGCTCAGGTGGAGACACAGAGAGAGACAGAAAGAAAGAAATCACCCCCAGGGGGGATGGCCACGCCACAATCCCTTCTCCTCCATTCTCCTCTTGAGATCTTGGGTACACACACACATGTACCCGCTGTAAGTTTAAGCTCCCAGGTTTGGGATTCAAGCTGTGGCCGACTATGTGAGAGTCCAGGAACGTAACCCTTACACCACCTGCTGGTCCCGTGCCCGGTGTGATTTTAAAAATTTTGCCAGAGGGTGCAGGTGCTTGCAACAGAGAGACAAGGAGACAGAGAGAGAGGGAAAGCGAGAAAGCACGCCCATGGAGAATGATCCCGCTGCAATCGCTCCTCCTCCACGTCTTCCTCCTTTCAGGATTTCCGGCACACAGGCACACGCACCTGGAATGTTTCCCAAACCACTGGGTCGAGGGAGCAAGTCCCGCAGTTGGCCGTGTGGGATCCAGTCGCCCTCACCATTACGCTGTGCCTCTGCGTGGCCCAACGCCCACTAGGAGTTTTGATCTGAGACACCAGCTTGCCAAATAACCCTTGTAAAAACCCAGCCTGGAGCAGAGACAGCCCCTATGATTAAACGAAAAAAAGTTAGTACAAAGGGGTCTTCAAAGAGCTCATGCAAATGCATGTTATGAAAAAGTTATGCAAAGTTTTTGTTTCTTTATTTGTTTGTTTTTTTGGGTTTTTTTTGCACCAAAACAGACTTCTGCGTTCACAAATGAAAAAGAACTTACTGTCCTATGCCAACTCTGTGACATTATTTTGCCCGTGAAGGAGGGCAGTCAGGACTCATGCAGCGTTTTTTTTATTTTTAAAATTGTACTTGTTTATTTTTCCATGAGTAAGCGCGAGAGGCAGACAGGGAGAGACAGCGCAGCCCAGAGGTGCTGAGGTTCTGACTCATGCCCAGCCTCAGGCTGCCCTGGGTCATGGACACACACATGCCCAGCACACGCACGGAAATCCCCAGACACAAACCCGGCCACGTGCGTGACGCTCACAGAGTCCTGAGCTCTGTCCAGCCCCCAAGTCATCACTTGTATTTGTAAGATTTTAGCATTGAGATCATAAACCCAGCCTGCATGTAATTCGGTCCTCGGGGCGACCTGAAGTTCAGCCCGGTTTCCTCTGTTCTCTGATAAGGCACAGTGAGGCCACCACAAGATTATGAGGGGCCTTCAACAAGGTCTTGGTGATTAAGGCA